GCTAAATGGATTTTAAAAGCCCATAGAAATGCATTAAAATGTCATTAATGCGTTCCTATGGGCTTAAAAACTAACCTTATGCGAAGATCCTCCATAGGGGCGGCCATTTTTGGTGCCTCTAAAGCAAGGCAACACAGCGGGTGGCAATTTTGTTTTTCCGGTGGCCATTTTGGAACCGCCGATCAGCTGGCCAAAAATGGCTTTGCGATGATCACTTCCCCATGATCATCGCAAAGCGAATTTTCCCCATAGGGATCATCGCTAAGCAATCGCGTTTGCGATTGCTTAAACCCCGTCGCTAAGCGATTTCTTCACTATGCAGAGCGATCGCTAAGCGAGGCACCACTGTATTTTTGTTTGGTTTGATTTTTTTCTCCTTTGGTCTAGGTGGGAAACTACTTGTACATTCTCTACTTGTATCAATCTTGCGATTGAATATGCTGATACTGTATATTAATCCTTTTTTCTCAGCAACTCTCTGTTCTTTACATGTCCATCATACTACCATGAGTTTGGTATTCAGCACCTAAATATATAAAATGTATGTATAAAATTTGTAATGTCATTGAGGCATGCAGTGGGATCCTGATGTATGATTGGGTTCTTATTTGTCCATAGTTAACAGTTTCAAGAGTAGTCCTTACATAGTACCTGTGAGTGCCATGACCCAAATTATCACCCATCCCTTTCCAGCCAGGAACCATAAGCTAGTCAACTCACAGTTCCATTCATAAGTATCCTTTCATAATTGTCAAATGCCATAGTAGTTCCTTCTAGCACATATCCTTCCTGACATCCTTATTTAAACATTTATAGTCTGCCTGTGATCTTGCTCTTTTCCCGCCTGATTTGCTCCCCCTTCAGTCTCCTCCTTTATTTCTAATTTACTTAATTCCCTTTCTATAACGCCAGTCTCTTGTTCTTTTGTCTTTGTTTGAGAGTTGGATAGTACACTCTCCTGATCCTGGCTGAGGTGACTCTTCACCTCACACTGCCCTATATCATAGGACCTCAGGGCAGGCTACAAAGCCACATAAAACTATTTTAAAAAATAAGGTATTTGAAACAATTTAAAATCTAACATCACAAAATTAAAACACTCAAATATTGAAAACAGTGCACTAAAACTTGTGCAGGCCACGAATCTCAAAATTTAATGCAGGCAAATAAAAACCTATAGATAGCGAATAATTAAATAAAAATCTGCAAACAAAACTATATACACACCAAAATGGCCTCACCAAGTACTGACGCTCTGAACCTTTACAAATATACTGTTCAAAGATGTTAGTTTCTCATTGTTTTAGATGGTTGTTTTCCTTAATAAACTATCCTCCAAATATTTATATTGAAATTGGGAGTGTAGATGTATGGTCTGTACATTGAAGAGAAAGTAGCTGGAGTTGAGTCATCAAGGACAGATGTGCCAGATCAGCACAAATGTGTGCATAGGGGTGTCTGTGTGCGCATACAGTGGTGGCCCGCTTAACGATTACCTCGTATGATGAATCCGCTGTACGATGAGGTTTTTGCGATCGCAAAAGCAATCGCAAAATGATGTTTAGATAGGGAAATTTCATTTTACAATGATCGGTTCCCTAAATGACTGGCCTGCCCTACAGCTACCTAATTTTAACTGCCCATGTGGCAACAGCCAGCAACCGAGAGAGACTGGAGCTACGTGTCACAACAACGGGGGGAGCAGAAGAATTTGCTGCCTCCACAGCAACGGAAGCAAGCAAGGGGTGGGGTGAGGGAACGAATAGACAACCATAACAGCAAGAGAGGAGAGGAGCCGCTGCCACAGCCAGTCAATGCCAACAGGCAAGAGCTATAAGGAGCTCCCAGAAGTGTGGAGGGGGGGAGACCAAAATGACTCGGCACAAAGAGGCAGTGGTAGGAAGCGGAATGCTGCTGCCGCAGCAAGCAAAAACCAACAGGCAAGGCAAACGAAAAGGCAATGAATTAAAGCTCTCCAAGAAGGGGGGGAGGTAAAAATGACTGTAGGAGAGAGCGAATCCGAGCCTTTCCCAAAGCAACGCCAAAGCCCTCACTAAAACAAGGGACAGCAAAGGGGGAGAGGCGAAAAAGGGAAGAAATGTTGCAGCCAGGCAATCCTGGTCAGGTTTTAAAACCACCCACCTTTGCCAAAACGCTGTGGCATGCACAAACCGCGGCATGGCTTTTCTCCTGGCACGCTTTCCCCTGGAGTTGCGGGCCCTCCTTTCAGTCACACACAGTCCCAATAGTCCCAACAGTCGCTTCCTGACGATCAAAAACAGCTGATCGTCGGGTTTTCAAAAGGGCCACCCGCTGTGTAAAATGGCTCCCCGCTGTGCTTTAGGACGGATTCTTCGCAAGACAGGGAGCAGAAAATGGCCGCCCTATGGAGAATCTTTGCTGGACGCTGACTTATTTAGCCCATTGGAACGCATTAACCGGGTTTTAATGCATTTCAGTGGGCTTTTTTATTTCGCTTGACAAGGATTTCATTCTACAGCGATTTTGCTGGAACAGATTATCCTCGTCAAGCGAGGCGCCACTGTACATGCATGGATGTGTCATAGGAGTTATTTAATTGTTCAAAAGCATAAAAGCTGCACAATTCTCACAATTTATGTGATTGGTCCATTCATTTTATTAGTTAATCTAATTTAGCATTGTTTATGTCAGGTGGTAGGTAATGCAGTGCCCTCCGGATGCTTTGTGTTGGATCTTGAACATTTCCTGACCATTGGCTATGGTGGCTGGGGCTTACGGTTCACATAACCATAAACATCTGAATAGCACCAGCTTCCCTTCGTCTGGCTTAATCTTACTAAAAAAACTTTCAGGAGGTTCAGGCTGGGAGGTTCTTTGTTGTCCCTGTCACTCATACATACAGATCTTACGTCACTGCAGAACCATGAAAGTATGCTCTGAAAATGAAATACTGACCTTCCTTCATTGATTCCAAATCGTTTTATCTTATTTCTGGACAATATTAATCTATTCACAATCTTCCAGTCTTCTGTCAGTTATTTCTGGTCTTTTTCATACAGCTTTGTGTGTATGTACAAGTAGCCCTTGCTTTCAGCATTTTTTTTTTCATACTGGTTACCAGTGTCCACCAACTTAGGATGTGATCACACAGTGAGAAAGGTGCATGTCTAATCACACCAAAAAGGTCTCTTTGCTGTGAGCAGTCTCCCTTCAAGCACTTGTTCCATACATTGGGAATCACTTCAGCCCAGTCCCCAAAAGTAAGTAGCTCTATTGCTGGACCAAAAAGGTCCAGCTTGGGCACAGATCGGAGTCAGGATGGAGCACTAGTCCCTAAACTAGACCAGAAATGCTCCAAAATTAAACAGCTATTTAACTCTACTATGTAAACAATCATATTAGACTATAATTAAATCAGTGGCCAGAATCTTATGGAGTTTTATTCAGGAGTAAGTAGAACTGTATAACCTATGGCAGCAAATTGCAGCTGATTAAGGAGGTGCTGGTCACATGCCTTGTTGTATGCCAGTCTTATTGACAGACATACAACCAGGCAAGCAACCACCACTTTGTTAATTAGCTGCAGTTTGTTAGTGTGTTTTTGACAGTTTCACTTACTCTGGAGTACATTTCTATTAGGATTCTGGCCAGTATGTTTATGTGTAAGTGAACACTGAATTGTGGTGCATTATGCATGGCTACTCAGAACTGAATCTCTTTGAGTTCAACGGGACATAGCCCCAGTGAGTACAGAATTTTAGCCTTATGAACTTATTTAACAAAGCCTCACAAAGGAATCTCAGTGTTATAGTGTAGTTTCACCGGGGTTAGGGTTACTGATTTTTAAAAATAACAGACTTGTCATCAATTAAAAACTGGCAAGTTATAATTGCAGTGTCATCAGTTAAAATACAGATTTAAAAGAAATGACTGTGTCTGGTCGTCAAAGCCAGAATGATGTGCAGTTCTTTTTTGTTGGAATAATTGTATTTGCTGAAATTCATCACATTTTACACTGCTGGAGAAATTTCTTCTGTTCTTGTATTGTGACCTACAATTTCTGCTTAGTCTCAACAGCTGCAGAACAACAGAAAACGTCTCCCTTCTTGTGTATTTATGTAGTGTTGGAATAAGTTGTGCAGGTATGCATGGTTGAGGTACACTCCTCCCTCTCTAATGTGATGTGCTGTTAACCGTGTCTACCTCTCATTATTCCACATAACTGTGTGACACAGTGATTTCATTGAGCATGACAGATCAGTGCTCAGGTTCCTAGCTTCTCCTTCCTCTCTCGGTTTTTGGTTTATCAAAACTTCACTGGAATTTGAAATAGGGCGAGTTCAAGTTCAGAAAGGGAGATTTAAAAGCAGCTCCAATATCTACTTAACTCATTTATTCAAGTTGCATGTTTTGCTGCTTAGCTAACACTTGATTGACAGCCCACTGAAATCAAATTCCCCAAGAACTTATTGCTGTACTTAAAGCCTGCACAACATAACAGCCAAACAGTATACTTCAGTTACTACTGTGACAGATTTATTTTTAGACATAATCACTGTAGTATTAACAGGTAAAAACAAGGCACCCATCAAGACACTCAACTGAAACCAGTACCAGAAACAACTAAAGACTACTGATTGTTTTTACACTACCCCCTGCCCTCGGAGTCTGATTTTAGTGGAAAAACAAAAAACAAAACAAAACAAAACAAGACAGCATCTGAGGGGCAGAATGGGGTCTGTTGGTTTTTGTACTCTTGTTCTATAAACCTTTGCAAAATTGCAGGACTTGTATTGCCAGTGTCCTAGTTATTGTCATATGCCCCACTGATAGCAGATTAATAAAAAGCTGTGTTCGCATCTATTTATTGAAAAGCATTTTAAGCTGCCTTTAATTGTAGAACTCTCCCAAGACAGCATACAAGATTCTTTTTTAAAAAATGGTACAGTGTACACCAATATACAATATACACATGCACTCCCATTTACCTAAATATTTTAATTTTTTTCATTTTCTAGCCAAAACTAAAAACATGGCTACCTCAGGATCCCAGAACTCAGCTGGTTCACAATCCAGAAAAACAGGTATTTTATAATGCTGTCTGTAGGTGCAACCTTCTTGCCATTCTGACGTCATATAAAATGTATTGAACTGGTGTATGAATCCATTAATGCTACTAAGCATTTATTAAAATAAAACAGAATACTTAAAACATGTGTTGGAACTTCAGTTCTTGGAGGAGAGGCCCATCCGTATATAGAAAATGCTCACAGTTTGTTTTGTGACTAGCAAGTAAAACAGTATTATAGAGAGCAAGAATGGGTATGTGTAAGATGCCATATTTCAAATTATATATTCTAACATTGATTATTGAGAATTTTGTATAATTGAGAACATTAATGCTTGGTTTTAATCTTTCATGTTTTATTTTATTCATTTGGATGCTGTTAACTTGGAGCAATAAATATTTAAATGAGATACAATACACTAAATCACTTAGACAGCAATTCTCTGCATCTTTACCTGACAATAAATTCCATAGAAGTCGGTGAGGGTTAATTCGGAGTAGATGGGTATATACTTACTCTGTTTGTTATCCCTATATTTCATTTTGTTTCACTTGAAATGCGTACATTCTTCTGTATGGCTTCTGTAGCACTAATTCATGTGACCCTCCCATCATGAATATATTGGTTCAGTTTCACAGGTCCTTAATATATTTCTCCTACACTTGTGTCATACAAAATTACCTGTTTATATACCACCCTATAGTGGATACAGCAGTCTCTGCATGGTTTAATTATGCAGACTACACATTACCCCTAGTGAGCTGGATACTCAATTCACTGACCTCAGAAAAACTGGGTGAGCAAAACCTTGACTGTAGTACTGCAGTTTTGCCACTGCTCCACAAGGCTCCTAATAATATATTGATTCCTAAGACTGTATAATGGCCATTATCAGCACACCTTGCAGCTGTTAATTATATAAGGCTGCTGTAACCCTGCAGATACTTTGGACTTCAGCACCCAGAAGGAGCAGGCAGTATCTCAAAAGGCAAAAGATTGTGGAACTTCTAGTCTAAAACATATGAAAAGCCGAACGTCTCCAACCCTAGCATAAACTGATCATATGTTGTATGAAATAATAATGTTAGCAGCACTACCTTGAGGAGCTACTTGGACTATTTTTTAATTTTGTTTCTGACAATTTAGGAATACTAGGGAGAAGAAGAATATAGCACAGGACATAGCACAGTGGTACAGCAAAGATTGGCTTATCTGTAGTACCTTTTTTAAAAAATATATTATTGTGATTACTAGGGGGATGTCACTTTGTTGCTGCTTTGTACTCAGTTTGTTGCCTTAGGAAAGTCCTTTGTCTCTTACCTTAATCAATTCATCTGTAAAATATGCATTGCTTTGCAGCAGCAAATACATTGCATCAAGAGTGCTCCCCCACCCCAACTTGGAGATTTCTTTCACTTTGGACATAGTTTACAGTTGTGTTTGATTTTGTCATCATTTTTTCCCTTACTAGCCAATAAAATGCTTCTGAAAAGATTTGAACCATGGTGTGACTAAAACCACATTTTCCTGTCATTTTATCCATTCGGGAGAACAATGAAAAAGAGGGAAGAGTTCTGGAACCTTTAATGGCTGCTTAGAAGCTGCTGTTATTTCCTCCTTCACACAACTGTTAAAGGTACAGAAGCCCTGTCCTCTTCTTCATTGGATAATCCTATTCTAGGATTGAACATGGATATTGCTGTTAGCAGTACAGTGGTGCCTCGCTTTACGATTGTCCCGCATTACGACGAAACTGCATTACGACGATCTTTTTGCAATCACAAAACGATGGTCTGAATAGGGTTTTTTTTGCTTTGCAATGATCGGTTCCCTGCTTTGGGAACTGATTCTTCGCAAAACAGTGATTTTCGGACAGCTGATCAGTGGTTTCAAAATGGCTGCCTGGTAAGTAAAATGGCTCCCCGCTGTTTTCTGGAATGGATCCCTCACAAGACAGCCGCCAAAAATGGCCGCCATATGGAGGATCTTCGCTGGACGGTGAATTTCCAGCCCATTGGAACACATTGAAGGGGTTTCAGTGTGTTTCAGTGGGCTTTTTATTTTCGCATTACGATGTTTTCGTTCTACAGCAATTTCGCTGGAATGAATTAACATTGTAATGTGAGGCACCACTGTATCTCTAAAGAGGAAGACCTTAGATGGATGCAGCTGATCTATAAGTTTTGGATGGATCATACCTATGGAAAAATCAGATGGAATGGCTGGGCAAGGTACAGTTATAGAATCACTGCTTTTTGGAGACATCATTTATCCCTGGTGTCTATAAAGAATTCAAACTGATTTTTTAATAAAATGTATTTAGTAACAATATGAGGTTTTTGTGTTATTTTAAATCTGAAGCATGATTCTTCTAGATTTCCTTAGCATGTGTTTCAATTGAAAAACTTCATCCATGAGGCTGTTCGATTTATTAATATATCACATTGCGCTTTTATGTTGCATTCTTCATAATTAAGTCTTTAAAAAAAGAAACTGAGAAGACAAGTCTAAAAGCTGCCAGCCAATCTGTTCTATTTTAGACACCTTTTCATTTTTAATGGCATTTGTCATTTCTTTCTTAGAAGCAAAATGATAGTTTTATATTTTGGCTTCTAGTACTACATATAGAATAAAGTAGGAAAAAATGAATTAGATGGCTGTAGTTACTATAACCTCTTAAGAGGTATGGCCTGCCTGAAGTTAACCTGTGGCTTTAACAAAAAAAAGCCTTTTGATTTATCTGTCACCTGATCCATCAGCAATGAATAATTTTCATGGAAGGTGCACTTTAATTACATTCCCATTTGACTTACATTATCATGCCTTATCTAGGTAATTAATCTCACCAAGTATCCAATTTCGGCCTTTATTGCTGGCAGGCAGGCCTCTTGAATTATGTGTGCTTGAATGGATATTTTGTCTATTTTAAGCTAAACACACCATGAAACAGTTTTTAGGGTCTCCAGTTTTCTCTGCACTCCCCCCATTAAAATGTGACCCTTACTTTGGAGTGATTTGGTTGATTAGCTTAGTCTGCTTGACTACCCAGCATTTTCAGAGCATGTGGTTAAGAGCAGCAGTTGACAAAGTGACTGAAACAGACAAATTATCAAAGTGACAAAAATTCTGATTCTGATACATAAAATTGGAGGAATACAATGAATTAAAACTGAAATATGGGAAATAAGTACCTCTTTTTTCCCGTTATATTATGTGTAGATGTTATAGTGTGAATAAAGAACAAAGAAAATGTGCAATCTTCCTTTTATTTCAGTAAATTTGTGCAGGAGGACTTCTAAGAACATAAAGCAGGACATTCTAGATAAGACCTAGCACATATCAAGGGCAGTGTTCATACTGCACCTGTTGTCTAGGGAACAATGGCCATTAGGACACCAGTGCATCTGAACAGTTGATTCCAAGGGATATATAAAGTCATACTGTCTCTGCTACCGGTGCTGGTATCGTTTATAATGGCCACTGATGCTCCTAACCATGAATTTTTTCTAAGCAGAGTGGATTTGATTAAATCACAATTTAAATCATGTTTTAATTTTTTAAAAAAAAATCAGATTTTTTTTTTAAAAAATTAAATGTTGAAAAAAGATTTTTAAGAAAAACTGAAATCATTATTCAAATCAATTTGATTTTTTTTTTAAAAAAGCATAGATTTTATCCACCCTAGTCATCCCACGTTTTTCTCTTCATGGTACATAAATTCCAGTTTCCCTTTACATTGGGTGAAAAATATGTTCTTTAATCTGCCTTCAATCTACCTCTATTCAGCTTCAACGATTGACCTTGAGTTCTAGTATTCTTCTCAGAGAAATTTGCCTGTAATCATTCCTGCTGTTGTCACTCTGAAATTAGAAGTTTGAAGCATGTTACATTTATATATCCATGGTAAGGATTTATTTTAAAAAGTTTTAAAAATGTACAATTGAGTCTAGATGTGGGCTCACACTTTAAGAGTCTTATAGAAAAAAATCATTCTAATTTTTTTTCCTTAAGCCTTTAAAAGGAATTCAGCTAATGTATGCAGTAATTAAGGTTGTGCTATGAGGAAAACAGTAAAGAATGGTATGAGAGAAAAATTAGAAACATGTCAAAAGAAGAAAAAATACATACATTCAAAAAAGTTGTTACATTTTTAAAGGGTTTGCCTTCTTGAAAGTGACAATAATATTAGAATGATGACTTTATACACTTACCTTAAACTTAGTTCCCCTCCTCTTCCAAATCTAGCTTTCTTTTGTATCAGAGTTGCTGACTGAATTTTTCTCTGGCCACATGCCCTGCCTACCCTATTATGGAACATTTGTTCTGTTGTAGTTTTGTGATAGTTGATGTGATTTGTTCTTTATTTTTATTGTTTTTACTGATTGACTCTTTGTTATTGTTGTCTGGTTGTCTGATTTTATTGTTTCTTAATTGTCCAGGATAGTGTTGTGCACAATAAATAAATAAATACGACAAATATTTCATCATGATCCATGTTTGCTCAGAAGTAGAACCCTCGGGTCAGTACCCTAGTCTAAACTCCTGCAGACCTATTGATTCAGTGGGCTTTGTGTAGGTGTTGAATAGCCTTTTAGCAGTCATTCAGAGGATCATTTCCGATTGCAGCTAGCCACAGGATGATGGCTGTTGATTTCTATGGGGCTTACAACCTGCATGCTCTTTAGCTGCAAAATGTGATTCGTTTTTAGATCCTTGTAAATCCCAAATTTCGTGATTATACTGGAAATTGAATTCCAAAGGCAAATTATATCTGGTGAATTAAATTCTCATTTGGCAAATGAATTGGTAAAGGAAGTCAAGTAGTCCCAATAACTTCTAGTTTGCCAACTAAATCACTTTTATCATCACGGCCTAATTTGCTTTATTATTCTTATTTCATTTTGGAAAAACTTTTGCCAGAGTTCTTTTTTGCCAATTTAGGCAACATTTTTAAAACTGAAAGGAATTGTAGCCATTCTGTACAACTATTTTTTTAAAAGTAATGTTCATTTCAT